TTCTACTGTAACATTGTGTCACCACAGCAGAGATTGCATGACGTCCAGTGTTGCAGAACTGACCAGGTTTCTGAATATGTTGATTTTTTTTTTTTTTGGTCAAAGAGGAGGCATTATCAGCACAAACCCTATATCGAAAACACCAGTAAAGCTCCTTTGCCTTATCCCATCTCCCTACCTTCTTATCTCTTCTTTACTTAATTTACCCAATACCTTCTACCCTTTTAACTCTTCTTCTCTCTCATGCACACTTTCCTTTCATTATGAAGAACAGCTTTGGCAAAATCAGCGCGAGGTGAGCCCTGGGAGTCCTGCACGCCGCCTGCAGATGGGCACACACATGTGCATACTGTCCCCAAGTAGGCAGTGCAACATTTCCCTGCTCACGGAGAGAAGCGAAAAGGAAGGAAAATGTGTGCAGAGTGTTGTTATAAAACTTCACTTATTTAACTTGAAGAACTATCTTTGAGTCATCGACTCTGTCACCTTTGACTTTTTTGGAATCGAACTGGTGTTTTGTGAAAGGAGGAGAAAGGCCTTTTCAGTTGACTTTTGAAACGACCTCGTGTGGTGACTGGAAAGTGTGACATACCCAGCCCCAGTGGTTCCCCCGTGCTGCCAGTGCTCCCTGTATGAAAGCGGAGGCATCACTGATAGCAGTGTGCGTTGGTGCTGTAGGGTTAATGCCTTCCTCTTTGCCTCTGGAGGGACTACGACTTCAGGATCAGGGAAGGCCTGGGGGTGGGCGGGCATGCTTTGACTGATTCTGATCCAGAAAGGAAGCAGCTTCATCTTCCCAGGACTAGACCCAGATAGAACACTTTACCCATTTTTTAATGCATACCTTTCAGGTGAAAGAAAAAAAAAAAGTCTAATGGTGCTTGTCTTTCCTGGTTTTCTTATCGATATAGACCACACATACATATACCATATATACATGCACATATGTGTGTACACACAGAGACATTTTTGTGGCTTTTGTAGTCAAATGCAAACTGGTCTTTGGAGTTAAACTCATTACCACTCAAGTAGTATGGCTACATGCCCAGGGTCCCTACAACCCAGTAAACAGAGTACTTGTCAGTAGGCCAGGACTGCTTTGGATCCACAGTAGGGGGTCACAACCGCCAAACCTTGCAGTCTCAGAAGAAGAACCTAATGTGTAGCTCCAGAATGAGCCGGCCTGCCCTCATGTTTCAGGGGATGTGCAGGGGGGTTACCAGATGCCTGCCCTGGCCTCTTTATGGCAGCCTCCAGGGCATAGAGACTTGGGTGCCTGCTGCACCTTGTCTCTGGATGGATCGGAGCAGGCTATAGCAAGAGAGTGAGGGCGCCAGTGTCTTAGCCACACAAGATTGTTTTTCCATTGGGTGAAGCTTCTGCTGACCTGGGGTCTCACAACAGAATTGATTGTGTGGTTTGCAGTTTGCTTGGGAGGTGTAGATAGCCTGTAGACTCTATTGTAACAGAGGATTAAATAGTGCTTCCGTTGGATAAGTTTCTCTCACTCTATTTGGATGAGACTCACTCCACATGTATTTTTTTTATATCAAAGTAAAAGCTAACTGTCTATAAAGCAAAGAGCAGAAATAGGGAACTTGTGTTCATTGAAACTGCTTGTGGTAGGGAGGGGGCTTTAAGTGTGTGCTTCTGCTTCATGTGGGAATTGTGCAATGCAAGGACTAAGTCCCGGTACTTCCCACTATGAAGGAGGGGGGTTCAGTGAACAGGACTTGGGCTTATGTCATTAGTTTCCCTGGAAATAACTCCCTTCTGTAGCATAGTTGGAGTTTAAACCAATAGTAAGCTCTTCTGCCTTCTGACTTTTCTTGGAAAAGGCATTTCTAGGAATGTCTGCTTGGCTTGGTCTTGTGGCTAATGACATATATATATATATATCAGCCAAGCTTGTGGTCAACCCTGAGCACCTGTTCTCCTGTCCCCTCCCTACCCACCTGTGTCCCTGGGCTGGGCTGTATTGTGGCCTGGTCCCTTATGTCGTGCTTGAGCACATAGCCCCTGTTCTCCCACAAAAGTGGAGGGCACTTTGTTCCATGCGTTGGTCCTGGACTTTCTCTAGACACAGAGGGGGCCAAGGAGACATAGGGCTGGGTGGGGAGAGGCATCCTCCTGGAGACCTCCAGGCCCTCAGATGCCAGGTCATGGTGGGCCCTGGGCTGACTCTGAGCCAGCTTTTGGATGCCTGAGGGTGTCCCCAGCCTGTTTGTTTGTTTTTCTGAGATCGTCACTCTTGAAAGCAGCTTGAGCCCACCATATATCAGGTGGCGATGAGTTGGAATTAACTCCATCGCAGTGAGTTTTATCCTGGCAATGTTTGGCGCATGTGGGTGTCAGTGATGGACATAAGAAGCTGTTCTTACTCTAAAGTTTCAGTAGATTTAGTGTCTCCTTTGCAAGTCTGTGTGTCCTTAAGGTACAGAAGTGTGTCCTAGTGGTAGGGCTTCTGCCCCTGCAATTGCTGTACTTTGAGGTAGCCATGGGTGTGTTCTCCCACCATGTGTTTGCACTGCGTTCACCTCAACCTGAGAAGCGAACAGAGCCAGAGGAGTCAGGCTGCTGGATGGAAGAGTCCACACTTAGGACAAACCGGGAAAGGTGAGCATCCCCCACTAAGCCAATCCTGAAGCGATTGTTAGGCTCTGCCATGACTCAGGCTCTAGGGTGCAGATAAACAATGTCTTCCAGGAGTGGGGCGGAGTTCCTGCCTGGAGATCCTACAACACAGAAGGCAAACAGGGAACCTTCACTGCTTCTAGCCAGAGACCTTGGCCTAGGGTCTTAAAATATTTAAGTAGTCACTGGTATCACGTAGATGACATTTGCCTATAAATGACAGAATACCTGATCAGCAGTCTGTGACATTAAGAAGAAATTTACCTCAGTCATGTGCCAGGAGGATGGCTCCTGGGGCTCGGCTCACCCTTACCTCCTGCCCCCACCCCTCACTTGGCTCTGGTGCCTTGCTAATCATCTGGGCTGCAAGGAGGCAAGTATACTGTGTTCAGTGCATGACACCTGGACAACACAGAGAGGGGGAGCTTCCAGAAGCCACACTCACCACAGTTGTTTTCTTACCTCATTGACCAGACCTGGAGGGCCCATAGAATATTCCTGAGGGCGAGCACTCTGTCTGTTCCGTTCTCAACCTTGGCTCTCGCTCCAATGCATCAGAATCGGAAGACCCTTGCGCAGTTTAGATGGCAGGCTTTGCTAAAGACCAAGGCCTAAAATGCCTCTCACTGTACCTACCTGCCTTCCCCTTCTTTCCCCATGCACCCACCCCACCCCATGCATTTTGCATCCCTACCTTGCCTCTGAGCGCTGCTTCACAACCCCCTGCAAGGTCTCTTTCTGGACTAACACTTCAGAGCTCAGGATTCTAGCAAGAATCCTGTCTGCTCTGCTCTGTACCAAATCCGTTTTCGAGAGTATAGTTGCATTTCCAGGTGTCTCTTCTTCATAAACTAATACCTGGGGGCATTTGAATGTTCCCACAGAGAATGTTCCCTGAACATTTCCTGAACATCCCTGAGCAGGTTTGCAGTGTGCTAGTAGGGACAAGTTTAAGGTAAGGGTTTGGAGTCCCTGATGTGCTTTCCCCCACCCTCTACAGAAAGCCAATCCTGGAGAGATCCTGCATTTGGTAAGCCCTACCCCTGCCACGACTCGGGGTGTAGGTGCACTTCAATGAAACACATGTCTTACATGTATTGTTAGAGTGTGTATTTGTGCATGTAACTCTGTGTGTGTAGTATGGCATGAATATGGCTATATTTACTTGTGACTGTGTGTATGTGCACACTGACAGTATCTTTTTCTGCCACCTGTCTGGCCTGGCTATCAGGTGGTTTGTGTGTGGTGCATTCACTATCTAAATGAACTCACTGTGACATGTCTGAATTTTCTATTCCTATTACATTCGTTTGCTCTGCCATCCCTCATGAGGGATATTTTATTTTTATTCTGAAGTTGTATTTTGTTTTCAGTCAGAGCTACATCTTATTTATCTCAGTCTCTTACAGCTTATCAGAGTTCCTGGGTAATTGTCATTGCTCAATCAGTATTTAAAGTGACAAGAATGTCATTAATGGGTAACTTTTGGCGCTTAACAGGACCTTCCAAAGTAGAAGGCCTCTACCTCACCACACGTTTTAGAATGCCGTCAGAACCCTGCAGTTTACAGACTCATCAAAGCACAGACCGTGAATCGTAGTCACCGTTGTATCTTGAGGATATAGGTCAATGCTTCGTTTATTGATAGGTTCTTCACAAATGGTTATTGCTTGAGTGAGTACTCATAGAAAGGAGTGGACCCCAAAGCTAACAGCCAACGGAAGGAGTCTCGAACCTGTGGTTCTAGTTCGCAAAGCAGATTTACATGTATCGTCTCATAGTTCCCACTTTATAACGGAGGCTAGAAGCAAAAAGACTTTCCCGAGAAAAGTTGCAGAGCAAGGATGGAGCCATCCTTTCATTCCCAGTAGCACGGTAATAACCCGAAGGAAGGGGGACCCCACAAAGTGGGGCCTGACCACTCTCGGAGAGCCGTCTGTGATTCTCAAGGGTCAGGGGTGATGCAGCTCACCTCTGGCGGGACGTGAGGAGCTGCAGAGCAGCGGGGACGCAGGTAACTCAGGAGTGGTGACCAGGGCACAGGATTCCCTGCAGAGAGAGATTCTGAAAACTCCAGCGCTGAGCTGCCGTCCCAGCACTGCGGTATGCTGAGTGCTCAGATGCTCAGACCTGACAGCACTCCGGGTGACGGGGTGGGGTGGGGCCCTGAGGCCTGCTCTGGAAGCCTCGGTGGACTTTGCAGTCTATCACTGTTAAATAAAATGATGTGATGCTTTTTTTCTCTTTTCTTTTCTCTAGGACCAGACATTTCAAAGAAAGTATTAAGTTCATCCACGAGTGCCGGCTGAAAGGGGAGGGCTGTCTTGTGCACTGGTACGTACGTCTCGGCTGCAAAGCTCCATCCGGTTCCCGTCAGTTTGGTTCTCGTTGGTGGCGTTTGGGGTGTGATTATTTGATCGGCTAGTCGTTGTTGCTACCCTGCAGATCTGGAGCACAGGCTGCACTCTGGCCCCTGCTGTTGTGTAAACCATCCTTTGCTTCTGTCTAAAGAAAGCCCTCCTTGTTGTTTCATTGTCACCCCTTGTGAGGTTGTCTGTAGGGCCCATCGTGCTTGCCGAACAACAGACATTGCCCCTGACATTCCAGCATCCTGGAGACGTTCACAACTCTTCTTTCTGCAGAGTTTGATTGCACGGGTGGCTGACAGGCTGGCTTTAACGCCATAAGCACTGTCTCTTCTCCATTTACAGACTGAGGCTTTTACGTGATTTGGCCTCTTCCTACATTGCTTTGATAGCTTTGGGACAGATTTTTAGAATGAACTGTTTGCCAACAGCTATCCTGCACTCATATGTACTTTGTGCAAGTCCACACATTTGTGTGTTTATGTATACACACACATGAACACACACAAATATGTGCACATGTACATACCCCAAAAAGAGCTGTTAATATGGCTCTGCCACATAATGAATTCTGCATGAATGCATGCTGCCATTGTTCGTTGCTGTGAGTAATAGTACTCATAGCAGAACTGGGAAGCCAGTAGCCATCACTCTGAGCCAGGACTGCTCTGGGGTCTTCAGCTGCAGCTTGAACGTGTCACTTCTCTTGCATGGGCTGTTAATAACCCGAAGAGCAACAGTCTTTTTTGATTTCCCAAAAAGAAGTTTGCTACTGAAGTGTGCACCCTTGGGAAATGTGGTCTCCCCTAGGCGGTGCTGTCCAGGCAGGGGCAGCCCCAACTGGTAGGGAGGGACTCACATGACTGCTAGAGAGAGCCCCTGAGAAGCAGAGTTTGACCTAAAGGCAGGTAGCCTGGTGGGGAGAGGTGGGGTGAGGGGGGGACTAAGTCATTTGGTTGCTCTAAGAATGGTATGCTGCAGTTTGATGCAGTTCTTGAAATAGTGTGATTTTTGCAGGCGTTATAATTTTCGTTTACATGAGCTCCAAAGCACTCTAAGGGGTGCAGTGGAGTTGTGGTAAGGGGTGCTCTGAAACCCTGCTCTTCAGCTCTGCCTGGCTCCTGTGGGGGTAGCCTCTCCAGGCTTGGAGGATTCAGACCTTCAGAGCTGTGGGTCATGACAGGAGGGGCCACCACAGGGAGTTTGGTTTTATTATTTATATTTGAATATGAGTAGGTTTAGTAGTCTAGGGATCTGAATTCATGTAGTCGGTATAGCTGAAGATACACTTTTCAAAGAGTGAGAAATTTGCTAAACTTCCCCGTTTTAAACCGTTGCTCAGAATACTTTAAGTTTGACACAGCACTGCCTCATTGTAACTGCCTATGATTTGCATATGCATTTAAAATTGGCCCTTACTCAACCCGCTAGAGCTCATGAACCGTTATTACCAAAAGGTGTCCCCTTGGCCACCTGCCAGAGAGCCTGGCTGAGGGTGTCAAGTGGACCTGCTTTTCCATTCAGTCTGGCGTATGAAAATAAGATGCTGACAATGTCTGTATCTAGTGGGCTACAGATCTAGCCTACGTTATATCTATGAAAGCCAGACTTTTAAAACTGTGAAGTATTCTGAACTAATGGCAGTTAAAAATGGATTTATTACATAGATCTTGGGACCCTTGATATGCCAAATCACCTTGGCATATGCTTCAGTGTTTTATCTGAGAAAGCTGACAATACCTGAGACGGGTTTAGGAACCGTAGAGGATTGTGAAACGTGTCTCTAGCCATGTCAATAGAAAGTCAAGAATGATCTGAAGGTAATTCTCCAGAGAAGGGTGCCTAGGAGATGGGTGCATATCTTTGTGATGGAGATCTGTCTAGGTGGGGCCCTTCAGCATGTGGCATCCAGGTGGGATCAGGGCCTCTGAGGCATTCTCAGGTCAGACAAGAACATAAAAGGATCAGACCACTGAGCGATGGGCCAGTTGCATGGAGTCTATTCCAACTCAGGACAAGGCCATGAGGGTCAGAGTAAAACTGTGTGCCCTGGAGGGTGTTCAGTGGTTGCTTTTTCTGAAGTAGGTTTCCAGGCTTGTATCCAAAGGCACTTCTGCTCTGGGTGGACTTGAACATTGTCTGACTTTGCTGTTAGCAGCCGAGTGCATTAACCATCTAGAGATTTCAGAGAGAGAGAAAGACTGGCAGCTTTGCTCAGAAGGGATGCCAAATTAAAATTGAAAAAACAACACAGAAAATACCTGAGATGTAACTCTAATAAGGATAAATACAAGAACTTCAAAAAGTTCATTGAAATGGAATTAAAAGATAAAACTAAAAGAAAATAAATTTCATTTCTCAAATAAACTTCATCAAGGCCCAGATACTTTTATAAAGAACTGAGGGCTCTGGGCATTTAACCATGTCAGTGAAGACTGTGTTGCAGATTAACTAAAGAAAAATAGGTGCCCTTTAAATATCTATATATTTCTAATATTAGAAAATAAAAAAGAAGTTAGAAGGAGCAAAAGCAGGACTATAAGGCCAATGCCTACTGATTTTCCATTGAAACTGGCAAAATTGCCCCTGTTTGGCGAGAGGAAGAAGTGGGAGCATTGCTGTGATGGAGGAGGACTCTAGGGACGCTTTCCCAGGGGGTTCTGTTAAAGCTCTGGCTAACGTTGCTGACATCCTCTCATAATAAGCAGGCATTACCCTTCTTCGGGCCTTCAGAAAGTCAACAAACAAAATGCCTCGAAGCTCCCCCCAAACAGTTGCCAGACCTTTGCCTTTTGCTTTGACTGGATCACTTCCATAACTTGGTAGCCATTGCTTAGATTGTGCATTGTCTTCAGGATTGAACTGGTAAAGCCATGTTTCATTTCCTGTTAAAAGTCTTCAAAGAACTGGTTCAGGATGTTGATCTCACACATTCAAGTTCTCCATTGTGCTCTTGGCTCCAGCTGATGTGTGCACTGTAGTTTTGGCACCCAGCAAGCAGAAAGTTTACTCAATTTCATTTTTTTAAAAATTTTCAGTTTTCCAGTCAGAATTATATACGCTGAACCAATTAAAAGCTCTATGGTTTTAGGAGTAAATCTCTGCAGTTAGCCATGCTTCCTCCTCAATTTGGGATGGACAAGATACATTTTCTCCTTGCAAGTTGATGTGGGTGATCTGCTGCTGCAGGTTTCATGTTCAACACCCTCTTCGTCCTCTTAAAATGTTTTCCATGTGTAAACGTTTCTTTGGGAGCAGTGTCCCCATAAACTTTTTGTGATGTACCTGTGATCTCACCATCCTCCCACCCATGCTTCATCCTAATTTTGATGTTTGTTTTTCTTTCGATTATAGCAAAATTCCTGTTGCTCTGATAGAGGCCCTTTTCAAACCAATTCATTATGCTTCTTAGAACCCCATAGCAGAATCCTGTTCATACATGCCATAACAAGTTAGTACAAGTTTATTTTGGTGCAAAACAAGCAACACGAAAGAACTCCAGTAATAGTCGTCCCTCCCCCACCCCCTAATTCTCATTTTCATGAGCTCTGAAGACCCTTTGCCCAGGGAAGCCGAGGTCTATTTCTGGGTGATTTCCCACTCACTGATCTTGCTGTTCAGGAATAAACTACGGCAGTAAGACCCAGGAGGCCTCGCTGCCCCCATTCCCTATAGGTAGGTGGTAGGGTTGCAAATATGTACTTGCTCTTAGAGTCCCTCATGTGTGCCAATTTTTTGACCTGCAGCCTGGCCGGTGTCTCCAGGAGCGTGACCTTGGTGACAGCGTACATCATGACCATCACTGACTTTGGCTGGGAAGACGCTTTGCACACCGTGCGCGCAGGTCGATCTTGTGCCAACCCCAACCTGGGTTTCCAAAAGCAACTGCAGGAGTTTGAGAAGCATGAAGTCCACCAGGTAATCCATCCTCAGGGGATTAGTGAGTTATGGGCTCAATCCCCGGAGACAATGTCCTTGTCTGCTAGTGCGCAATCACAAAGGTTGGCGGGTCCCAGGACAGGCTAACTCACAGATTACATGATTTGTGTCACCACTGACCGCCATCAGCAACAGAGCCACAGACTCCAACCCTGTGTACGTTTTGCTCTGTGGTGTCTGCTCTGAAAACCCCTGCATTAGCTTCAGGGTGTCTTCCATTTGGCGAAGTGCCATTTTTCTTGGTTTTGCTTCCTTTCATGCCCAGACAAACCCTTGAAAAAGCATACATTTCTCTTGATCAACACCGGCAGTTCCACCGCATAGCACAGGTTACCTGAAATGTTTTTATTTCCCTGTGCATATTTAGCAAAACCTGTACCATTGTGTGATAGATAAAAGTCTCCTGGAATTCAGGTTATCGTAGCTGACGTTTCCTTTTGCCCCCAACCTGTCCAGTACCGGCAGTGGCTGAGAGAAGAGTATGGAGAGAGCCCTTTGCAGGATGCAGAAGAAGCCAAAACCATTCTGGGTAAATATAAAGAGCAAGGGCTCATGGAGGCCCAGCCTGGCATGCGGCGGTGGAGTGGCTTCTCAACACTGGCTCCTCTGGCCTGCAGTGACTATACATCGGAGACCTAATGGAGAGGGATCCGGCCTTCACTCTCTTACCCTGCTTGTCTTCGGCGCCACTGTGTGTGCACATGGTGTGCTGGATGCCTCTGCAGCCTGGGACTGGGCGAGGGATCAGGCCAGGAAAAGGTGTTAGCGGGCGATGGTGGCGGTGACGCTCTCGACTCCTTTCACTGGTACTCGTCCTCTCCCTGCCTTGGCTGCCCACACCTTCGCTTGCTACACCAGAGGACGCTGCTCTAATGCCACACACCGACTGCCAAGGGTGTGCGTGCCTGGGTCTGTGAGAGCATATGCATTTGTGTGCATACCTAGGTCAGCGTGGTATGCACCCCATGAGGGTGTGTTATGGGTGTGTGACCTATGCAGATATGCATCATATGTGGGCGTGTCAGATACAGAGATGTGTGTACTCGCTGTGTACACCTTAGGTGTGTATGGAACCTAGGATCAATACTGCCATCAGAGTCACAAATTACACGGTTTGTGTCACCGTCTATTCCTTTGCCTCGGTCCCGCAGCCTCCCACCCTGAAGACATGTGAGCTCCCCGTCTGAAAAAGCGGTGCCAAAGGCAGCGTCTGTGCCTGGGGCAGGTGCGGATGGCTGGGGCCTCGGACCTCGAGCAAAGGGGTTAGGTTAAGGGGGCTGGGTTCTGAACTGCTCTTCCTACAGTGTGTGTGCCCATCCTGGGTCCCCAAGGCCGGAGCCATGTCCCTGAGTTCTCTGGGTCCTCTGCGATCTGGGGACTGCTCCTGCACCCCTCTGGAACTGGAACCAGTGTGTGCCAGGGCCTTCACCCTGTGGCTGCCCAGGCACACAGCTCTGACTGCTCCCACTGGGCGGCAGGCACTCTTACTCTTCAATGTCTGAACACACCCGTCAGACCCAGTAGCCATTGTGCTCCACAATGCCTGAGTGTTTCTTACGCACCTGTGTGCGTGCTTTGGATTTGGTATTTGACCGCAGCTACCTCAACTAGAATCTTTTGTAAGGGTGTTTTCTGTTAACCCAGTCAACTCTGACCCAAGTCTTCAGCCACTAAGGTGTTGAAGCCACAATGGAAAAGCTTCAGTTCCATTAAGCTCTCAATTGTTTCCGCTTTGGACTCCAACAAGGATGCTTCCAGGTGATTGTGCTCCACTTTGTGGCCTGGCCGGAGGGTCCGAGACCCTCAAAGTCTCCATGTGGGCAGGTCTGCGCACTCCATCCTTCATGCCAGTTTACGCTCTTGAAGTGCACAGTGCCACAAACACCTGGAAGAATACAGCTGGCCTCTCCCAAACTGCCGCAGCCCAGTCTCCCTGGCTGCCTTTCCAAGAGAACCACAGGAGCGCTAGCCAGGTAGATGTGGATTGAGGTGAGCATTTTGGGGAGAGGGATGAAGTTGTCACATTCCACATACCACATCCCCGTGACCGAACCAGAATCAGCTGCAAATTCTTGTTTTCCTTAAACCAAAAAGAAATGTAAATATGTCAATAGAAGAAGTATTTCGAGTGGTAATTAGCATGGATGTAAAAATATGTGTGCATTTCTGAACATTTCATTGTCTTCCTGTAGATGTTGAAATGTTTTAATATTGGTTGCCAGTGATGTTCTTTCTCCACAGCCTCTCCTGGAATTCTGAAATATTTGGACTTCCTCAGAAGAGTGTAATGTACCGGATACTGCTGAGAGATTGGAAAGCAACAGTGTTTAGGCTCATGCTGCTAAAAACCTAGAGTTGATTTTTCAGTGCTCATTGGGGACTTGTAAACTGCTTCTTTTTCCATTTTAAATTGTGTGCATGAGCATCATGATGTCAGTTGTTGAGAACTAGCTCTTAACAAGCGAAGCTGTTTTTTCATTTGTACCTTAACCCTGCCGCCTGGGCTGCCTCCTTTGCCTCCTGAGGACTGTCTGTTCAGTGACTGTTAGGGATGGAGATGGCTTGTCGTGGGCAGGCAGCCGTCAGGGGTGGCAGGCCACAGTTCCATGGATTGTGCATGTGCCATTTGGCTCTGGGGTGTGTGTTACCCGGGGTTTGTGTCTTTCAGGGTGGAATTTACCAAGAGCTACGCATTTCTGTTAATAAAGGGCAACTTGGCCAAATTTGACTTAGTGTGTGCTCTGTTTCTTCCTGCTGCAGGGCGCTGCTCTGCCTGTGAGGCCGGTGGGCGGGGCTGCCTCTCTGTAGAGGCTCTTCGGTTCCTCACACCCTACACACAGTGAAGTGATTTCTCCACGAGAGAGAGAATGATCCTCCACGTGAGCTGAAAGGAGGTAGGGTGTTGGCATTAATTGTCGTCTGTACAGTGCAGGGATGGAGCTGTCGCACCCTGAGAATGCCGCGCCAGCAGCGGGCTCCGCTGCTCAGGCCCTTCAGGAGTATTTGCTGAGCTCAGCTCACTGAGCTGTAGTTTGAAGTTTGCAACTGGCTTGGAGAGCTACCTAAGTCATTTTCCTAAATGTTCCTGTGGAAATCCATTGAGGGAAGAAAGAAACTTAGCTTTTTACCCTAGGTTTAGAGCAGTGGTCCTCAGCCTCAAGGGCAGGGCTCTAGGCCACCAGGACTCCTCAGGTGTACCAGGTAGCTCCCAGAATAGCACTTGGCATCCTGCTTGGCAACTTTAGTTTTTCTGAACTCATCTGCAGTGTGAGCACCGGAATGCAGCCGAGTCCTGGCTGAGTCCCTGGCACCTAGGAGGAAGGAGGGAAAGGCTCGAGGTAACAACCACTGAATCAGGCGATCAACATACCCGGGCCCCTGGCACTTGACACCTAGTCGTGGTGTGGCCCACACTGTCTCCTCAGACTCAGTCTGGGGAGTTGTCAAAGAGAAACACCAGGAGGGACTGCCTTGCACAACGGTCCAAACAACTCCCAGGATGCTGGTTCCAGAAGCTGTGCTGACACTTTGTAGGAGTATTGGCTCTCTCTTTGGTCACCCCAGGGCATGTGGACACAGGGATGAGCCCCTGTTCACTTCCCTAGCCCTGGTGGCTTCCCTTCCCCTCTCACCTTGCCCATGGATTTGGAACAGGAAGACCCATGTGCAGATAAGCCATGAACGTGTGGGTTTGGGTATTTGTTATTTCTTGGCTTCTGCACATTGCACTAGTACCTTCTCTGCAGATTTGTAAGGTTCAGGCTGACCACGTTCAGGCTCACTGTGGGATGACTGTTGGTGCAAAACTCTGTCCCAAGTTAAGGAGGTAGGGTGGAGGGCACTAGACAGGGAAAGGCACATTACCTATGACACTCCGGCTGATGCCAGAAAGCCACACCCCATACACACATTAAGGCTTCCTTCAGAGTCTGAGCTTAGAACGGGCTGCTGCTGTCAAGAGTTCTCCACACAAATAAGGCACTGGCACACCCACAAAGGGTACTAGGTGAACAGGGTTCTAGGTCTAGCTGGAGACTAGTGACTCAGGACCACCTGTGTCCACTACCACCACCACCACCCATCCTTGCTGGGCCCAGCCACCAGAGGGGAGAATACTCATCCCCCTTATCCTTGCCTCCGATCAGTCGAAGCAGATCATAACTCACATAAAACCTGCCACTTATAGTGAGGGGTCACAGGTTACTGTTGGAGCTCGCCTACCTTTAGTTCAAGTCAAGCCTCTAAACCAGTGGTTCTCAACCTTCCTCATACCATGACCCTTTATCATGTGGTGACACCCCCCCAACCATAAAATTATTTTTGTTGCTACTTCATAACTGTAATTTTGCTACTGTTATGAATCCGGTGACCCCTTTGAAAGGGTCGTTCAGCCCCAAAGGCGTCGTGACCCACAGGTTGAGAACCACTGCTCTAGCACTTCAACAGAGCTGTGGTGGTGTACTGGTTACATGTTGGGCTGCGATCCGCAAGGTCGGTGGTTTGAAACTACCACTGGCTCCTCAGGAGAAAGATGGGACTTTCTACTCCCATTAACAGTTACACTCCTGGGAACTCGGGGGCAGTTCTGCCCTGTCCTCTAAAGTCAGCAGGAGTCAGTATTGACTCCATGGCAGTGAGTTTGGTTGTGGAGAGAGCCTCAAAAGAATCCTTTCTGGGCTACACCATAGCTTTGCTCTTTAGTGAACCCCAGCCTTCTAACTCAGGCAATCAGCCCATCTAACTCAGGCAATCACCCAGGGTAGGGTACCAGTAGCCAGACTCCCCGAGACGCAAGAGTTCATATGGCCAGCATCTTAGATGATTGGAAAAGGCAAAATAAGAGACGCATCTTACTCCTTGGCCAAGTTAAGTCTCTCATGAGCAAGGTTGGGGGAGGGCACATTCACCATGAACATTGTGTGTTAAGTCCTGCCTGTCAGGACATGAGCAGGAGAGATGGAGTTTATCTGGACCTGGACCTCGTGCTATCTGCCTCCTGGACCAACTGTCCCTCTGTTTACATACCTTCTGACCTACCCTTGTTCAGAGCACGTTCATTAGGTATGGGTGTCCTAAGTCCCTTCGTCGTTGTCACAGCTCTCCCTGGGGATGTGTACCTGCAAAGTCCTGTGTTCATTCTATTTCATTACTGGGTGCTGGTTCCTTCTAGTGTCTGAATAGGTGGGGAACTCCATCTCCCACCTTGGGGGTTGCACAGTGGTACTCCTGTATACAGATAGCATATAAGTTCTAAAGGCTGGTGTAGGAGTAAGCATGCACATGTGTGCGTTGGTGGGGATACATATGCGTCTGCATTTATTGTTTTTATGTGAAAGAGCGGATAGCCTCAGTGCAGACCTGTGGACAGTGGCTAGGAGCGTATTGAATTCATCACAGTTGGTTAGCAACTAGCTATGGAGCCCACAGGAGTAGCCCCACAAGTCACAGCTCCCTCTGCGTACCAGCCTCTGGTCTCAAAATAAGGAACACAGTTAGAATCAACACCCTCTGATCCCACATCAGTGACTCCTCCCATCCTGACTCTGAGTTATTAATAATTTTATTAAGAATGTGCTTTCCACATGCTTGTATTTATATATACATTTAACAAGAAGTCACCAAGACTTCAGAGGGTACTTCCTCCTTCCCTTTCCTTTTTACTGCCCAGGGAAGGGGAGACACTGAAGAGAAATTTCAAAAGGAAAACAACCCAAATCGCTCGAGTTTCATGTCACTTCAAGACTTGAAAATAGGATTTCCTTCCTTCCTAGGGTTCCGTAAGGCTGCCTGTGTTTCCACCTGGTCAGGGCCCAGCGGAGGGTGTGGATTAGTGTAGCCCACTGAGAGCGTGTCAGGCTGGCAGAGAGAGGGATGCTTTGCTTTCTTATATTCCAACTCCCGCAGGAGATTTTGAGGTCAGTGACCATAGTACAGGGGGCATAATTATATTAGCATCGTTCTGCTGGTATCAAAATTATGTGTTCTAGCTTGCAGGTTCGACATAGCCAACCTTGATAAACGTGGACATTAGGAAGCTGAAGTTTGCAACTGCTAAGTCTGGGTTGCTTCTCATGGGGGGAGTATGTTGCCGGGAGGTGGTTGAACATCTGTGAGCTGAAAGGCCGAGCTTTCCTGAGTGAGCGAGTCACTTTTGCAGGCACACCTGGCTTGAGGGGATGCCTGAAGGTGTTCTGAGTTGTCTTGACTGTTTAAAATTCGTTTAGTCACAGCTTCATTGGAAGAGTCTTTTTGGTGGGATTAATGCAGAACACATCCTCTGTACAAAGTCCCTGTCAGGTGGAAATGGGGGGGAAAAAACATTAGGTTCTTTTTGGGTTACCATTTCCTCAGTACTTCAAGGAATGGGGTTTAGAAATAGCCTGCTCATGCTTTTTACCCTCTTCCCAGTCTGACCCGAAAAAGTCATGGTGACGCACTCACTCCTCCCCACCCCACCCCCGCCCCCTGGCTTGTTCCTGTGAGCGGTGTGGAAGGAGCATGCATACACTTCTCCTGCACCACGGGGCCTGCCCACAGCCCAGCGTGCCAACCTCCACAAGTGCCCCAGCACAAGCAAGGGCCACATTCACCAGGGAGCTGGTCCACCATGTGTTGGCTGCCTTGGATTTCCCCACGGGGCTGATGAGCCTTTAGAAAATAAAAAGGCCCTACAAGAGCTGTAGAAAAGGTCACCTTCTGCTTTAAGAAGGGTGTGTGTGGCTTCACTGTGAGATGCCACTGTGCCATGAAGCTTCCCTAGGATGAGAGTCTGGGGAAGGCTTAACCTGGGTTTGTATGAAGTATACTGGTGTGGTGACAGGTGAAAGAGGGGGTGCATCTGGGTGTGCCTGAGTATCTCCAGGAGCTAGGTGTGCCAAGATGAGTCACGCCTGTCAGCAGGGGACAGACCACCTTCTGCTCTCCCGAAATGCCTCAGAGTCATGCCCACCCTGACCCAGAACATGGCAGTGAAAGTCCACTGACACTTGGAGCCTGGGCGCCTCTCCAGACAAAACGTCCCAGTCCCTACACTCAAGCAAGCAACGTGGTAGTTTAATGTTGGTTCTCTAGAATATGAGAGGAAGTCTGGAGGTCAGCCCACTCATGGGAGGCCCTTCTTAGGTCTGGCATGAAAGAAACTCCCTGGCAGAGCTGGAGGGCGCCGAATCTGCGGGTGACACATGAATGTGGCCAGAGCCTGCCTGGGGTGTTTTTAATATCCAGCCTCAACCATCCTGCGAAACAGGTATTACTATCCTTGTTATCCTCGGTGTCAGATGAGGAAACTGAGTTCTCAGGAACTTGAATGAGTTGCCTCGCCTCTTCATCTGACAGTGAGCCAGTTAACAGTGGGAATCCACACATTCTTCACCAGAGTCTGAGGTGCTCTGAAGTGCAGTTTGGGGGAGCATGCACATTCTGATAACCCTCCTCTGAAGGTGAACTCCTGAGATGCGAGTCCTGATACCGTGTGAGTGGGGAAGAGACAGGTGGAGATAGGTACCGGTGCATAGGAAGCACATTCCCCCTTTCAACCAAAGCTGTTCATGACGGACACATTAGCTCTGATGGGAAGCTCCTGGAGAAGCTATCAGCGTCCTGAGGTTATAGAGTGCTTTGGAGGAATGCAACAACAGGTGTGCAGGTGGCACGTGCTTGGGAATGGAATGTGTTTGGTCATTTGGGTGGGAGTATGCTTGTGGGGTAGCATGTGTGCAGGGGGGGGGG